ATTAAAATATTTTTGAAAATTTTTAACAAAAATATTCGGAAAATCCAGGCACCTTTTCAAGGATTTTTTTTACAAGATTTTTCAAACACCCTATTTAATTTCGATTTAACATACTTTTTTATCTTTTTCTAATGCTAAAAATTCGAGAAAAATAAAAAATAAGTTAAACTGAGATTAATGTACTTTGTCAGAAATGGAAGAGTCATGAATATTATAAACGAATATTACAAACAGAGACTGTAAAGATTAAATAAATTTTAAGAAACAAATAAAAATGTTGTTTTATCTGTCTTTAGTGTTTTTTTTACATAATGGTGTGTATAAAGAACACTAGTTGTATATAAAGACACTAATTGAGCAACACTATTATCCGTGAAAATTTATTTAAATCAGAAATATTTAACTATATACATATATCGTTACGATATTGTCTTAATTATAGTGTTTTCTTTTTAAAACCGAATCGCAAAATATAACAAAACTTCGATTTAATAAAAATATTAAAACAATTAAAAAATAATTGTAAGATGCAAATAATATCTATGATAATTCGAAATGCTCAAAGAGAGAAAACGTGTTGGCTGGAACGTCTGTCAGACATAGCAATAAATAAATGTCATTTATTTTTACTACACTTTATATGCACTCGTATTATGTGTCGTCTACGCTTTGATACAATAGCTACTGATGTTTTTATTTTTAAAAATAAGCTGACTCTTTTTTACGTTGCGCTAAATGACGGACATAATTTAAACTGGAAAGTCCAGAACTCCGCGCGAGGAAAGATTAAGATTTTATTTTATTATAATAGTTTTTATTATTATATTATATATAATTTTTATTCTAGCCTAAAAAATTGACACCGAGGTTTCGTACTCTTACTGATAGAGATGTAGAGAGTTTGATAAGCGAAGTGGATACCAAAAGAAAATTTTTAAACAAATACCAAAATTTTAAGAATTCTGTATCTGATGTACTTCCTGTTACTGATAAGGTAAGTTGTACTTAAGACATCAACGAACGTTTCCCAACGTCTCTGTGCAAATAAAAATTGTGTATACATGCGTTAAGAAAAGTTGAACATTTCGATCCTTTGAAAATCTTGAAATTCATTTCCGCGCGTTGATCAACACACATAGATGACTTATCGTACGTACATAAGTCCGTACAAGCTGCATGGAAAGTGAAAAAATGAATGAATGAATGAATGAATGAATGAATGAATGAATGAATGAATGAATGAATGAATGAATGAATGCACGTTGATAAATGCATAGATATCTTAATACATCTCTCTCTGTGTGTGTGGCTTACTAAATATTTTTGTAAGTATACGATTACAAATTTTATGAGATTTTGATACAAACATCTTTTTACGTCTTATAAGTTAGCGGAACAAAATGAGCGGAATCGATTCTAACTAACATTTTTATTTGTTGCTCATTTGTTGCTAAAAAGTTGCCAAAGAAAAAAATTTGTTGCTCTGTCGGTTTATTTAAAAAAACGATGTTTCGCTAAAGGAAGATTCAGTTAGCGGAACAATACCTACAACAAAGCCAATCTACGCAGAAATAACGTAGGAATTTGTTGCTAATTTGTTGCTAATTTGTTGCTGCCGAAATAACATTTTTTTTAATACTTTACATACTGAAAAAGTGTAAATAACAACGAGAAGCCTCAACGTGCTGGCGGAACAAGAGTAAAGTATCAATAAAAGATTTGTTGCTCGCTTAAAATTGGTACTGCGACCTCGTCCGAATTAGTTGCTCTAGAAATAAACAATTTAGCAATTTGTTGCTTGCAAAATAAGTATAAATAACCACGTAAAACCTCAGCGTGCTGGCGGAACAAGAGTGAAGTATCAGTAAAAGATTTGTTGCTGGCTTAAAATTGGTCCTAGGATGTCGTCCGAATTAGTTGCTCTCGAAATATGCAATTTAGCAATTTGTTGCTTGCAAAATCTTCCTTTAGCGAAACATCGTTTTTTAAAAATAAACCGACAGAGCAACAAATTTTTTTCTTTGGCAACTTTTTAGCAACAAATGAGCAACAAATAAAAATGTTAGTTAGAATCGATTCCGCTCATTTTGTTCCGCTAACTTATAAGACGTCATCTTTTTAGCACTTATCTCCGTTAATCAACAATTTTTATTACTAATATCGAAAACTTTTGTAATGTGTAAACTTTTGTAACGTTTGTAATGTGTACAACTTCATTTTATATCTAAATATATCTTATTCATTTATAAATATGTTTGTTATTACTTCCTCACAGTACAAATTGTAAAAATATCCTCTACAATTAAATGTAGAAACATGTAAAATGCCAGATGATTATTACTATTAATTTTGTTTAAAACTTCTACAATTTTAAGCAATCGATATTTTATTTTGCTACATAGTTTTACATTATGATTTCTTTGTAGAAGTTTGTTCTATAAGTTGTTGTAATAAATGCTCTACAAAAGCATTTATAGACCTGCAAGTTGAGTTAAATATTGCTACAGGTTGTTATTATATAGTTTACATACGTGCCTGTAAATACTTACTTCAACTTGTCACACGAAGTTCTATTAAATGTGACAGATTTTTTAAGTTAACTGTTCCTATATTTTCACAACAAATGCAATAAATTGCAACAAAATTATTTAAAATTACACCTTTTAGATTTTGTTAAGACTGCAATATTTTACAACCTTAAGCAGTTTGTCAATTGATTTAAGACAGTTTTCTTTGAACAATCTTTTAGACTCATTTACTACAAATTATCTCTGTCCCTATTTGTAGAAGAGCACTCTCCAATTGTACTATTTGATGCTACATTTTTTTCACTATAATACTAAGAATTAGAAAAAGATAAACAGTTCAATCGAGATTGAAGTTAATTTTATATTGCTGGAAGCGGATCTTAAGGAGTTAAAAAAGAGGAAAGAGGATAAGAACTCATACAGCACAGAAACTTGCAGCAACATTGCTGCAATTCATTGTAATGTTGCTAAAATGTTGCAATATTGCTGGAATAATCAACTGTGTTAGGAATAAGAATAAAGGTGTAAGATAAATATAAAAAAATAAAGCTAAAAAAGAGAGAGGAGGAGATACTTGTAGATAGAAAGTTTTTTTGTACAAATTTTTTCCAATAATTAAATGTGTAAATATGACATTAATGTAAATAAATTTAAAGAATTCAAGGCTGTGTTAGTTAGGATTAAAAAATAAGGAAAAATAAAGAAAAGTCTATATGTTAAGAGGCGTCTATAATGAGATTTCAAGACATAAAATTTAAACTTTAAGCCGTAAAAAATTGACTAATCATAGTCGATTATTCCTCACATTTCTTCATATTCCTCACATTTAACTATAATTGATCAATTTCTTACGGTTTAAAGCTTAAGTTTTACGTTAAAATCTCATTCTAAACGCCACTTGAGGCAATGTTGGTGTGTTAGTTAGCAGTTAATCGTTAATTTCAAGGAATGAATAGATGTGCGATTAAAATTTAAATTGTAAATCAAATCCCTTTTTCACAAGCAAGCTGAAGTAAATTCTATATCTGCATATAATAATTGAAAGTACTGAAAGACAGCTTTTGTGACTTTTCAAGGCAGTACGATTTCTGGACAAACTTTCGAATTGCTGTTCGTCCGAAGAACCGAAGACATTTTTCCGCGTCGTTTGAAACTTCAAATACATCAGTAGTCAGTCAGATATCCTATGAGTCTGGCCACGAGCGATTTTTTCAAAATATCCTAGAGAGAGAAAGGTATATAATTTTTCTCTGTATTATACTATACTATAGTATATTATACTATACTATAATATATTATAGTATATACAGGGTGTCCTAATAACTCTGTTATAAGGCAATATCTCCGTTATCGTTAATGATAAGCGAAAATGCCTGAGGAAGAAATTACTGGGACACCCTGTATATATATATATACTCACTCTATAATCTTAATTAAAGTTAAGCGACGTGTCTGCAATGAGATTTTAAGATGTAAAGTAAAACTTAACCCTCCGTGAACCAAGAAAATCAACATGGATCAAATGTGGGTATATCTCATACTTCATTATAAATATACTATAATTTAGTGTGATTGGTAACAACGCAATCTCCAGTTGCACGAAATCGGCACCACATACGCGCGGTACTTGTTAAGAAGTTATAGAAATTCTTGCTGGGGTATGTCATACCCTAGTTCACGGAGGGTTAAACCATAGGAAGTTGACTAAGCACAATCAAATGTGAAAAGAACAATCGATTGTAATTGATCAATTTCTTACTGTTTAAGGCTAAAAACTTAAGTTGTACTCGCTCTTGTACCTTAAAAGCCCATTAAAATAATATAAGTGCACTGAAAAGAAATATAGTCAATTTTAATAAATATTTAGTTCAATATTGCCAACTAAACACTTACTTACAGTAAATAAATATTTCAGTAAAAAGAATGATTGTTAAACCAAATTAATGTTTCTCGTATCAAATAAATATATATTTATATTTAATAAATATTTAATTGGCAATATTCAACTAAATATTTGTTAAAATTGACTATATTTTTTTTCAGTGTAGAATAAGATTATATACATATATATATATATAATACTGATGTATACAGAAAAATTATGTATATCTTTCTCTCTCATAGAATTTTAACAAAATCGTTCGTGGCTATGAATCATAGGGTCTCTGTGTCAATCTAGTTTTGTCAGACCGTTAAATTTCGTCATCCAGTCGACCTCTGACCGGCTTACGACACCAACGAGATCTTTCACACGTCGGATGGGGTCAGTCCCAGTTCGTCTGGCATTCTTTTATCGGGGAAACGCGAGGGAAAGACGTCTGCTGCGGTTCCACGCGTTTGTAAACAATTTCGAAATTGCCATTCTCGTAAAATCACAGCCGTCAACGGCCGTGCTTCACAGTGTTTCCGCGGAACGAGCGCGCGGTCGGAGGAGACGCGACGTGCGGACGTAGATCAAAAAAAGCTACTCACCCATGTGAGCGAGGTCGATGATCGGAATTTCGCACTTGCTAAGAAGAGTCTCGCAAGTGTGCGTGACCATGGGCGCGTTGGTGCAGTAACTCATCCTGACAACTGGATTCTCCTTGGAAATGGGTTGAGATTCCTTTTACACCGGATCGTTCCCTTCCACCCGTCTCTCGCTCTTCTCCTCTTTCACTCTATCTCTTTACCAGTGCTCTCGTCGCAGACCAACTGCTCTCAACTTTCTCTCTCTCTCTCTCTCTCTCTTTTTCCGTACGGCACAGCGAGAGCGATAGCAAAAAAAAAAAAAAAAATTACGCCGCTTCACACTTTGCGCGCGATCGACTCGGCCCACCCGGTATAAGGCGCTCACCACACGGACTCACTGGAATATCCAAGAGAAAATCATACTATCACCGTGCGCGCGCACACACACAACACACGCGCACACACATACACACACAAGATCCGCGACTACGCGCGCGTAGATTCAAAAGGGTGTGAAACTCCGTTATCCCCGTGTCACATGCGTGAAAGCGAAAGAACCGCGAAGGAATATAATGGCTGTCCTAACGGTAGCCGTAGGAGACGAGTTTGTTGCGCGGCTCGCGATGCGGTAAGCGGTGTACGTGGCTTCGGACTAATGAGTACATGCTACGACGGCGTGATGGTGGTTTGTGGTAGCGATCACTCGATTAATTATTAATACGCTACGCACCGCCACTCTTCAATCAACCGTACCGTCGCGCGGCCGCTCGCAAACTGTTCTCGAATGCTCTCGAACGCACGAACCGTCATTTCCGAGAGTTCCGACTCTTCCGAGTCGAGCGTCGAGCATTCCGCGCGTTCACGAAGGCGTCCGATCGCAACCGAGCGCTCCCGAACGCTTCCGTACGCTCCCGAGCCACGTCCCCGAGCGTCGTCGAAGACGGTGCGCGGAAAATCTGCTATAGGTAGATCGTTTTTGCGATCTGGCGACTGGCGTTTATTTGCCTAGAGCGGATCTGGACCAAAGCCGATTCCGCGACATCGAGGTCAGTATTCTTACATTTGAGACTGTCTTAAGGACAGTCTTAAGATGTCATAAATCAATTAGAAGGCTGCATTAGCTTCTTAACACATTACTTAAGACGGTCTTAAAAGAAGAACGGATTATTAATACCGCTCCGAGACAATGAAATCTGTTTTATTACATTTGCATCAGCGGATTTTGATTCACGTGCGATTATCGCTGAAGTTCGAATTGCCTCCGCTCGAAAACGATTGTTCGATTTCGTATCTTAATGCAACTTTACTAAATACAATATTTATATGTGTATTTATGTGTGTATGTAATTATGTTTTGTATTTATATTTCAAATTTTGTATGATTTTAAGTGGCTTTTATTTTATTTTGTAAATTACTTTTAATATTGTGTTTTAGCAAATTATTTTATAAGCATTATATTCTATCTATTTCATAATATCTATGATATTCTGTTTAATTTGTATAAACGTGTATGTGTCTATTAATTCGAAATTCCAAATTAAACGAAAAATGTTAAAACAACAAATGAGAGTCAATAAGTTAGTAGGGTATAAAATTTAAATATAATTATTTAATTAATAATTCACAAATTTTTTTTTTTTGGTTTCTCTTTGACCCATCTTCAGTTATATTTATATACTTTTAAATAGGAATAGATTCAATTTTACATCTAATTCGCTAATGTCATTATACGTAATCATTATTAATTTTATGTTATTAAATATATAAAATTAACAAAAAGTTGTAAGACATTCATTTGATGGTAGACTTGGTCAAAATGTTTGAGATTATAGAGGAGAAGGTGATATTATGGCACCTCAGTTACGTTTTACACAATAACTTTGTTATTTAAGTTTAAAACTTGACAATTGCATTCGTTAAAATGTTGTTGAATCGATTCTGGACTCAAAGTTATGAAATATTTATTACTTAGGATACTATTAATACAAATGT